GCGGGTAACTTTTAATCGAATTTTTTTTTTGAAGATTCCTCGACAAAACGATAGCATCAACGCGATGATATCGATCTACGTAAAGTTTTCCTTGCTTAATAATACAGAGAGATTAACCCTAACCCTTTTTTCTATAAATTTGAGAGAAGGAAGATTTCTATTTTTTTCATTAACTGCACGTACAGTGCTTCTCTTATATACTTGATTTATGCAGCATTGAAATCACTATAGAAACATTAAAAAGGACGTGCTATCATTTTTTCGCGCAATAAAATTCGCTCCTCTCCCTCTCTCTCCGCTATAATCTAAAGAAAAAAATAAAAAATTCAATCCAATCTAAAAATCTACACAATCTATATATATATATCCGAATCCTAATTCCTTTATCCATACATCGAACAAAAGGCTCCCTATTGCGACATCAAAATTGAATTCCCATATTCAAACAGAAATCCCTCATAAATCCATCGTACCCTTCTGCCCCCTCTCCTCCCTACCCGACAATAAATCCACGGGAACGCAACGTTCAAGGTATCCACGATAAACATCAGAATTATACACAGGCTGTTTGCCAGGAATTAACATAATTACAGGCAACAAAAGAGGGTCGAAGGTCCGGTCTTAAAAGCGCCACACGGCTTCCACTGCCCGTTTTCCTTCCAGCGAAACAGCCTCGTGGCTAATTTTCCCCTCTGCCAGTTTCGGGCCATTGTGTCCCGAGAGCTGTGGTCGGGGCCGCCAGGAAAATCATAGAGAGACGACGATGTCCGGCAAGATTGGTGGGAATATTGTACGGCCATATGTTGCCGAAACGTGGTCAGCTGTTTACGACTGCTGCTGCCCGAAATTGTCCCTGCGGTCCGTTACGGACGCATCGATTGTCCATTTATCAATCGACTCGGTTATCGAGATTCCTCCGAGGGAAGGGAGAGGGAGAACGAAACGATTCGGAGGAATCGTCGAAAAGGAATGCTCCCGGGGGAGGACTATCTGTCGCGATAAAAGTTGAATCGGTGTGCTTCTCGACCCTTCTTCCTTTTCCTCTCTTTCTGTTCGAATAGATTTTTCTGATTTCATTCGTTTCGTATTTAGGATTAGCAACGAATTCAGAATACGAGGGGAAAGAGCGAATCGAAGTTACCTGTTATTCGAAATTTTTTTGCAAATCTTTATTTGTTTATTTATATTCTTTATATCGAATTCAATTCGATAATTCTGTTTTACGTGAAATATTGGGATTAGTAGATGTAGTTCATAGTGAGACTTTTATATGAAGTAATTTTTTTATAATAGCGGAATATCATCATCGTTTCTCTAAAACATAATTTTTTAACGATAGAGCAAAATTTTCCATCATTGCACACAAATTTTCGGGTAAAAAAATTGGACAAATCTTCTTGCTACGTAAGATACGAAAATAGTTTTTGGACCGACTGTACGATCACGTTTTATCACGATTGTTTTGCACAGCCAGACATTGCTCGTTCACACCGCACGCTAATTTACACTTTGCTCCAATATCAAACGACTCCTCCCCTCCCCCCTCGCTAATTTGCATACGGAACCCGTTAAATCCATTTCTATCGCGATCGTTATACGTAATAAAGCGCGAATTCCCTAAGTTTACGACAGATTCGAGATCAGAGGAAGGGGAAGAAAAGAGGGAGGGGGGTAAAAAACCTCGTGTTCCGCCGGTTGGAAATCAATCATGTGAAGGAAAGGAAAAAAAAAAAGGAAAAAGCGATTCACGGTGAAAAAGAGTACGAAGAGCGTCGTACGTAGCGTCGAATCACGTGCTTAGACGTATTTTCAATGGCTCATTTGAAAATTACACGCCATTCTCACGTCAACCGGGCTACTTGAAGACGTTGCGTGACCCCTCTGCTGGCCCCGCCATGTCGCTTACACCAGTTTTGCATCAGTCCACATCACTTTACCTGACTCACGGCTACGTGTTCCGAGCCGAGCTGCCAGCCGCGCGTCTTTCTTCCCTCCCTCCCCCCCCCCTTTCTTCCACCCTACGTAACATCGTGATTCAGCGTTCTTTTTTACACGAACGCTTACCCTCCCCTCCCCTCCTTCCAGCCAAGCTTTAATCCAAACGTCTGTCGCGGCCAAGACCATGCTTGCGTTACACGAAGTGGAGTGTGTGTACGCGCGTGCACGCTCGCCTGAACCTTGAGGGGTCGACAAATTGATGGCTCGGGACGTCAAGGTAGCTGAGCAGGGCTCGTAAATCGCCGCGGACCAACAGCCGGATAAATATTCCTTCGCGGTCGGCGAGCGAGCGGATCGATTGATTCTTCCCCGCGTAGACGCGCGCGGGGCTCGTTTCGTGGAACGAGCGACAGGCGTTGGTCGATTCTGACGAAAAAATATTCCTTCCTAGCCCGGTTGTTCTATCGGGGGAGGGAGGGTTGACGAACGTCAACGAGGAATCCCGACGTGACGGGCGACACTGCTTTTGAAGGAGTCGAGAGGAGTGGAGAGGGAGGGGAGAGACGGTTGTTGGAGCTGTTCGATAATCGGTGCACCGATAATTTTGTGCATTTTTTACTCCCCCTTCCTGTTTCTGGACGAATTTCGATATTTTTTGTAGAGAGAAAGAGATGAGATCGGCGAGGGATGATCGACGAGGACACGCCTATTTCGATGTATACGCGTGCACGCATTTGTGCAGTGGAACGCGGTATAAATCAATGGTTTCACAGGCTCGTATCAACACCTAATTAAGGGAAAGAAGGATAGCGGATAAGTCGAATGATTTATTAGCGTCGCGCTATTTTCGGATCCTCTGGAATTACGCGCGGTTCATCGAGGCCGGTGGAAATTTATGGCCTCCTTGTATACGATTCCTCGTAGTCGTATAATCCGTCGAATACGACGAGGACTCCATTAAAGGTTTAAAGGGTCGAGAAAATGGATTTGAGGAAGGATTTGAGAGATAAAATTATTCGAATACTCGCGAATTTTGCGAATTTTCATCATCATCCTACTGAAGAAGTGGGACATAAGTAAAAGTACGATGATTCATCGTGGTGGAATACTTTTTTGCGCAAGTACGTATGCTTTTCCATTTTTCGTAAATGCAAAAGAATCCTTCCTTCGCATACACTTTACCATAAAATATAAATAACACGCCTCGTGTGAAACCGGTATACAGAAGTAAAGTAGTAATAGCAATGCTAGTCTCCTCACCAAAGATAATTTCCATTATCCGCAGCGACGAATCTGCATCGATTTCTCGTTACCGATGAAAACGATCGCGCGAGCAGCGTATAATTCCAAAGCGATAAAAGCGGTCTTATCAATTAATTCGAGCAATCCTGGCCATAATCTCGGCACCGGTTCAAGAGATTTCAAAGAGGAGCCATTTCTAGAGGAGACGTGAGTCGATTGCCGGATGATCTGTATATCGTTTCTCATCGTTGCCGATCTAGATCGATCTGGATAAAAATCCGGCGGCTCTCCAACGAGCCGGAAAAATGGTTTCTCTAAAAAAACCATAGTTAATCCGCGCGTACGAAAAGAGGGGAGAATGGATTGGGATTCCGTTGGTCGAAAAAGAGCGACGAGATCGTTTTCATCTGGCCGATCGATCATCCCCACGACCCAGCAGGGCACACCGCGTACCTGCTGGGCCGGTGCATAATGTATGCGACTAATTGCCAATCGTTTCACTCGATGCAATTTCACTTTAGATTCCACGCGCGGTCCTCTTGTTTTGTTAATGGGTCGTCAGCTGACGCCGCCACCCACGCTCTATACGATTTATACGTCCCGCTTAATCGAACTTATCTCGATGCAAATACGGAATCGAGGAGGAGAGGCAACTCACGAGCTCAAGGCAACTCCTTCCCTCCTTCGTCCTCGCCTCAACCGTCCTCGCGTGTCTCGTTAATTAGACTCGCGTAGCACTCGCCTCGATGTAATCGCATTGTCGAGCTGGAGAGATCGTGATTTGTTCGGTTATTTGCTACGTGCGATCGGGTGTCGGGTGTTTTTTTCTTTTCTTTTCTTTTCTTTTTTCAAATCGATTCGAAGAAGAAAGCGAGACCCCTGAGACGACGACGACGACCACGCGACGACGAGCAGCGAGCGTATCGATCGGCCCAGCTGCTAATTCCGATGCAAATCTTTTTTCGATCTCTCCTCCACCCGAACGAATACAACAACGACAGAGAGAGAGAGAGAGAGAAAGAGAGCGAGTGTTATAACCCAGTAACACCGAGACGGCGAATGGCAGAGTTGCTTCCTGTACAATCACTCCCACGTGACTTGCGTACAAGCGTGTAACACGAAGGAGGAAGAAAGAAGGAGAAAAAGGAATGGTAACTGGAAAGAGGAAAGTAGGTGTGGCAAAGGGTGAGAGGCGAGAAACACCCGCAACGATCGCATTAGGGCGGGCCCATAGGAATGGACCCGCGTGCCTCGGTTGCGAGTAGTCGGGCGAAACGAGATCGCCAGGTGGCGGGAAAAACGAGCTTGTTTGTCACGTCACGAGAAACTAACGTAATATCGACGATACTGCGTAGCAATTTGCGTTGCACGCATTCGTTCGCCAAAGGTCACGCGCCGAATAAGCCATTTAAATACAGTCGCGAGAAGAAACGTGTGTCTTCTAGCGAATGCCTCCTGTTAATTGCAATTCCTCGTGAATAACTCGTTATATGTATATATATTTTTTAAAACGCGTTTGCACAGAGAATGTAATCGTACGTTTTTAACACAACGATACGGCTACCGTTGTTTTTCCCTCCAAGGAATTCGAATGTGGGACGAGGTCGCGACGACTCGTTAAATCGCGCAAACAGTTTTGGCGGAGGTTGGTCAAGGCTGAACCAGAAGTCGCTTTTTTCTTTTTTTTTTAATTTATCCACATCTCGACTCCAACCTCCCTCGCGCTCATACCTCCTCCTCCTCCTCCTCCTCGAACTGATTTCTTCGCGCCCAATCGATCGCGACTATGAGCGCGAAATGGAATCAATATCGGAGCGGACGATCGTAACCGGAATCCATAAAAATGAATACCACCGGGCAGAAAGGTTTCCACCAGAGTTGGCTATTCGCCCCACCTTCCAGTTACGGCCCATAAAATGCCCCGTTTGATTTACGCCCCTACTCTCGAAGCAACGGCTATATCGCCACTTTCGATGCAACTTTCGATGAGAGTCGCTTCTCGTTTTCCTTCCACGTTCCTTCCGCGTGGAGGGGAGAGGAGAGCCAAGGAGGGACGAGGCGGCAACAATTAGCAGGCAACACCCCGAGTTACAGGGGTTACAGGTGGGGTGCGTGGGTGTTGAGGATAAAGGGCGCGATAATCCTGGCAAGGCGAATTCGCGCGGGAGGGAACAATGGCGCGGTGGCAAGCTCCAACTACATTAAATCGCACTTAACTTTCCCTTGCCCGCTTATCGCCCGTTATTACTCTTTCACCGCGCCTTTTATTGTCCCGCCACGATAATTCTAATTGGCTTATTCCGCTCCACCACGGTGGCTGTGCGGTGGTGGGCACGAACGAAATGCCGATTCGAGATATCGAATCGAATCCCGTCCCTGAGAAACTTTCGTGGTACTCGGTTCCGCGCACTTCACGCGCACATTGGAATCTGGAATCTTACGTCGAGGAAGTAAGATCGGATTCGAGAGGATATATGGAATATTTCGCACGTTCGAGGGCCAATGACGAGATAATTTGGGAATATAAGCAAGATTAATCCTTTCGCTATTACGACGCGACTATAGACGCTTTATATATAAGATGCGTATCGTATGATATTAGAGACGATTAGAGTTATCGCGCATCGAGTATCTTTTTCTAGAAACGTAGCATCGATATTTCTTTCCATCATCAATTTTTTTTTCAAGAAACACCGTTAAAGCAACGATTTTTCTCGTGCGCATTTTTGGTGCTGAGGTTCAGTGGGGAGTGGCGCGGCGAAAAGGTCGCCCGTAGCGAAAGGGTTAAACCGGATGAGGAGGAATGGAGAAAGGAGACTTAACGGTTTTCTCGTGTTTTCTCGCGAGGCGAGGTATCTCGCGCACGATGATACAGCGTGTAAATCAACGTCAACCGTGAATTTCGACCGTGACACGATCCTCCCTCTCCGCTCAAGTTGCAGCGTTCATCGGATACACGCGACGTTAGTCATGGATTCGATGCGCGGATACCGCATCGCCCGGCGATGATTCGGCGAGGCACGCGCGACACTTAACGAATCGAAACCGGTCCGCCCTGTTCTCCGTCTAAAATCCGCACAGCTAGCTTTTCCCGCGTGCTCTCGAAGCTGAGCCCGGCCGAAACGCGGAAACAATGGCTCGTATTATCTGTAATTGGGCCGGCCAACCGTTCGACGTAGAAATGATTTACGAATGCGGGACCAAGGCGGTGATAAAGGGCAATTATTTGCCATAGCCAGGCGTCGCAGCGGCGGCGAGCCGGCTGTAATTGGAGTAAAGAGAACTTTTCTGCTCTCGTTGAGATATACGAACCAACTTAATGGATGGACGGCGTGATATAAGATCGGCCATCACTTTTTTCGACTCTCTTTCTTCCTTCTTTCTTCCTTTCCCGCGAGAAGAGGAAGAAGACGACGAGTATGGCACACGCGGAGAGAAAGGGAAAAAGAGAGAGAGAGAGAGAGAGAGAGAGAGATGTCGGTGTCGTGCACGGCATGTGTCGTAAACGCCGCGAAGATTTATTTATGCGTTAGAATCGAGCGAGCGACAGTGGCACGCGGTTATTAGACAAATGTTAAGCGATACGGCTGATTAATGCCGCGAACCGGGCAGGTCGCAATGGGTGGTGGCGAGGAATCTTAATTGGATTTCTGCCGTTTCGCGCCGTTTTCTTTTCTCTTTCTCTTTTTTTTTTATGAGATCGCTTTCCTCGCGTGAATTCTGTAATCGTGAAATCCGTCCTGTTTTGACGTATCGCGCGAACGGCGTCGTCCATTTCACATTTCGGGTCCGATCGCTGTTCGCCAGTTTACTCGCTATTGTTTGTGCTCGTTTCTTCGAAAGGGGATCAAGGACCGTGATAATTCGATTCCCTCCACCAATTCAGGGAGGATGGAAACGTTCCCACGAGTAGGCCGACACGCACGTTTACGATGTCTCGTGCCTCGAATCCACGGAATCCACCGTGTCACGAAGCTCCCTTTGCACGAACAAGAAATCCGTTGTGCACGAGGAACTCGGGTGCATTCCACGCTATCGTTCCACTCGCATCCTTGCTCCTCTCGATCAACCGCTTTTCCCACGATCCGTATCTGCTCCGATCTTTATTTATTACATCTCTCTTTGTTTCCTCCAACGGATATAATTGCAAAGAAGGGATAACAAAGGGATGGTTATTGGTACAAATTGGGACCAGAATCCGAACACTGAGAGTAATTGGAAAGGGTCGAGTGAAAATTTTTATTCCGATCGATCGAGGACATTTATTTTTCGAACCGCATTGTCGTCTCGACGAGGCATTGAGAAACACAAAAATTTGCACAAATTTGGACAATCGTGACTCTATCATCCTTCGTCTCTCCGTTCGATTCTTCTTGAAATTAAATTATACTCTTAAAAAGAAAAAAAAGAAAAAAAAACGTTGCAAGCATCTTTGTCCAAGAATCCCGTCGAGACTCTCTCCTCCCCTCTGTCCGGTTCCAGTTCAGCGTGCGACAAACACGATGCGCACGAACGTATTACCTAATTCAATCCACGCGCCCCGCTCGTCATAGCATTCCATTTGGCGTGGATCGCAACAGTGTTACTCGTAACGCAGCCCGAGAAGCGACGAATTGCTCGTAATGCGTGGCCACGCCGACGTGGCGATAGGGTCATTGCACCGTGAAACGTTTCCAATTCGCGCGTATCAGCGGAGCGCCGTGTCCGGTTGGATAAAAGCGGCACCGCTCGTCGCTTCAAAGGTAAAAGCTTTTCGATTAGGCCGGGGCGCAACCGTTTCAAGTCCACGCGCAAGGAACGCCCTCGCCAATCCTCGCATTTACATCTAGATAACCGTGCTTAGAACGCACGGGAATCAGCCCCCCCCCCTCGATTATTACGGGCCTCATTTTCGAATCGGTTAATGAGATCCGATTTAACGCGCGCTTCTTCTCTTAATGTTTCTAAGCGAGTCGAAGCCAGTGGATTCGAATCTCGAATAAATTCTCTGCGTTCGAGAATTTTTTTTCTCAAATTTTTTCGCCTCACGGAAGATTAGAGAAACCGGTACGTACGATACAAATTGCCGCTCGGCTGGCTCACTGGCTTTAAAACTGAACATTACGCACGAGAGATACGGATCGATTATATCTTACGTTTCGTTATTAATGTAACGGCGCGATTTAAATAATTTATTCGACCATCGTGCTCGTACTCGATTCGAATAAAATTCGATATTTCTTATCCGTTGTGTTCTTTCTCTATCTTTCACAACATCTCGTTCTGAATTTATCTATTCCTCCCCTCCTCCTTTCGGTTCAAACAGTTTCATCATAGATTAGATTCGAAACGAATTTTATGTAATATTGTAAATTGTTTGTCTCACGAGATAGGAATTTTTGCACGTACAACTTTCTCTATTATTCTACTCGACAATTTCTAACAGCTGATCGGCTACAATACGAACCGATCTTCGTTTCCCGGATATTCTTTTCGTTACAAAGGATGATAAATTTACACTCGGAACAATTCTGTTTCCAAGTAACGCGAGAAACCCCCTCCCGATCACCGCTCCTCTCTCTCTCTCTCCCCGATTAACTCGGCCCAAGACGAGTGTACACGCGTATATTCCAACGCACACCTGAGGGGAGTCGTTGAATTATTTCGCGTAATTGATTCCGACGCGTTCAATTTCAACGTGTTGCCGCGCCGGCAATCGAGAACCGGTCTTAATTGACACGAAGCTTCCGCGGTCGGCTAATTGAAAATGCTAACGTCGTTGTTTCCATTCGATCCCGTGGACCTGTTATCGATTCGTCGTCGGATGACAGAGAGCGCGAAACACCGCTTCTCTTCCGCCCGGCCTCCAGCAACGGCCCCGCTCGCGATGATTGATGAGCTCAACTGGTGTTCCATAGTTTATCGCTCTATCCATCCCAAGCCCCGAGACGCGATAGATCGCGCGAATGGGAATGGCTGAATTATTCCCTTCCCTACCTCCCCGTTTAACGGGCTTCTGTGAAGGAGAATTTTAGGCTTCCGGTTAACGTTGGCCATCCTCCAACCTCCACGTTACGGACAAGTTCGTCTGGTGGACCGACGTTCCGAGAGAGATTAGTTTTGGCCGCGTGCTAAAACTGCTAATTCCGTTACGTTTCTGTTCACGTTGTTGCGAGGGAATGGATCGAGATAAGCGAGGCATACTTTTTTTTCATCTCAGAAATTTCTTTCTCGAAGAAGTAAAATTCGTCTCGTCGAGACGAGAGAGGAAATTGAACGAATTGAGATCTCGATTTGAATCGAATCGACGAAGACATAATTTTTGAAAAGGAATTGTATTATTTTATTCTCTGTGTTTGAAATTTTACATTTAACTTTTTAAACGAAGTTAGAAGATTTTTCCAATATCTCGAAAGAGGAAGAAAAAAAAGGACACGATCGTTTGCCATCGTTTCATCTCGTGCTGATCTCGAACGAGACTCGTGATCGGCGCGGAATCATTAACGATTCCGTGTTGGCAAACGGCCTCTCGACGCCCATTCATCCGCAATCTTGGTTGCGTTCGCGGTGAATATCATTAAGCGACCACGCACCATTCATTCTCCATCTTCTCATCGCTTCGATTCCATCCCGTGCGCCTGTGCGACGTCTTCACAGACCGGTCGGCCGTTGCCACGCTCTGGCAACCGGACGACGATGATTCCGTGGCTTCCGTGAATGCGCCGCTGCAGGTATTCGAGATAACAACAACGAGCCCGCCGAACTCGTACAGTGGACGTTCTATCTTCACGGGTGACCGGTTCGGCATAAGTAGCTTATTCTCCCCGTTTAAGAGACTTAAGAGGCCGAGCGTTGCGCGCCTTTGCGCGAGAAACACGCGTCCACTCCTCCTCCACCGTGGTTGGAAGGGAAAAGGCATTAACCCACGTTAAAGGCGTTAACCGACCACGTTCCACGATCAGACACACGCGTCTGAGGTGTAACACGTTTCCTCTCCGTAGGAAAGTGGTGGGGCTACGTAAATATTGTAGTCGAACGAGCATAGTATATCGGCGCGTATATACTATATTTTTGTTTTGATTCGGGCGAAATTCGAAGAGCGGAAAGAGCGAACCGGTATTCGGGTCACGGTTACAGCCGCGTAATTCACGGGTTGAGTGGAAGAACGAGATCACGGGACAAAAGCGTGGAGAGCAGTGAGAAAACATTAAAAAAGTTCTAGCTGGTAGTTCTAGCGGCGCGTCGTACAAATTGCCTCTGGTCGGCTTCTTCCTTTTTCTTCCCTTTCTCCCCTTCGTGACGAAGTCTCTCAGTCAACTCGTTTCCTTGAGAAAGCAAAAGCACTGGGACGCCGTTGTGAGCTTTCTGCAAGCTTGACGCTCTCTCGAGTCGCGATCCTTGGGAGATTGGTCGAGGGCGGGATTTGCTTTAGCCGACGACATGGGTGCAAAGTATAGGGAGACGATCGAGTATCGGCAAATATTTGACGCCATCAGGAGATCGTGCGTGTATGTGTTTGAAGAAGAAAGAGAGTACCTTTTTTCTCTCTCTCTCTCACGTGTAAACCGTGTAATTCCTGGACCAACGAAATTTGGAATAGTTATAACCTCGCCTCCGAACCGAACAAGATCCCAAGATTTATTTTCGCGCTTAATAAAGCAGCAGAATATCAATGCCAAGAATCTTGTAACGCGAGTAGCCAGAGATTCGTTTCGCGATGAGAGCCAATTTCGGCATTAATTACACGGAGACGCGATTCCATCGACGATTCTCGAGCGAAGTACTCTCTCCAGTCCAGAATAATTACGCGCTATTACACCAGTTCGATTTTGCATCGTCCACCATGAGCTTTATTACCGTTTAACAAGTATGAGCATGGATTAATATTGCGCCGGGAAAGTTGCGCTCAGAAACAGTTTCACCGTGTGCGCCGCGCCATAGAAGGGGTCCCGAAGGGATAATGACAGAGCCACCGCAAAGTAATTTCACGGTGGAAAGATTTAGAGGCATTAGGCCGAGCCTATCGCGGCGACGACGATACACGGAAAATAAGACAACACGCGCGATCTTCGATCGACGAACGCCTCCTCGTCGGTTTTCCGTCTATTCTTTCCTCCTCCCTTCCTACCTAAGAACAGAAACAGTCAGAGGGACAGGTTTTACGGAGGCTTAAACGCTTCGACGTTCGGCTTGAAATCGAACCGCGCCCCCATAGCTTCTTTATTGAAACTTCTCCCGCGATACGACTCTTCACGCGTCTTGCTTATTCCGATCTTATCGCTTTCACCGTCTTGAACATTTCCGAGAGGTGACACACAGAGTCGAGACACAGTCTGGGAACGTGGACACCTGTTTTCCACCTTTCGCCGGCTCTTCTCTTTCCTTTCCTTCCTCCTGCTTAATCTGCCCTATGGAAATTTCTAGATGGAAATTAATAGGCGGATTTGGTGGACGAAAATTGAGAAATCTGAAATCTTTGTCTCTGCCTGCTCGAGCCCCATCGAGACGATTCTTAATATTCGAGTGTTCGAGGATTGGTTGAAAGGAAAGAAGGGACCGGCTATTAATATTGATGAGATTTGGTTTTTGTTAAGACGGCCAATTATTCATTCAGGAATGGTAAAATGGTTAATCGATGTGGCCGAAAATGTGAAGAAAGCAACCGATAAGCGGAGATCCGAAGCTAGATTCTCTAGATCAAAGGGACCCTTCCTCTCTCCTTTTGATTATGCATGAGGTATTTTTGAATTTATTTTGCGCAATTTATGATATATTTGGCAAGTGTCGTCGAGGATTTTAATCCGGGGATTAAAAATCTCCGGAGGAATGATCGAAACGGAGGAGGATTCGAGTAGAAAAAAATTCAACAAACGAAGAACTCGACGGATGTACAAACATCGCACGAGATATTTTTACAATTACTTACTTTCGAGGGGAAAAAAAAAAATTCACGAACAGTTTTCTTACCTTTCGTTGAATAAGAACAGAAAAGAAAGCAAAATAACTTTTTTTGACTTCTCTGAATTTTCCAAACTACTGAAATAACTGGAATAATTGGAAAAGAACGAAACAAAATTATAATCTTATCGATGCATCCCGTCTTAATTATAATAATCTGTCATAATTACGCGAGATGACACGAGATCGAGAAACGATCTCATTTATTACTCGCCTTTAAATATCGACGAAAGGAATCCTCGACTTATTATGACAGATTAAGTTACGTTTCATCGACGATAAGAGAACGAGCGTGTCGGAACACGGATCGCAATTAGTCACTGGACGGTCGTTTAAAAGAAAAAAAAATGTCGCACAACTACGCAAAAACGTGGACTTATTCGCCGTATCTCGAGCATGTAATTTCAAGTTAATGAATTTAATTGGCTTGGGCCAGATACACTGAGAATGGAAACCGGCTAAATATTATGATTGACCGTGCAACCTGTTATTACGCGAATTTTTCTTTATATTTTTCCTCCGATTTGTGAAAAGTCTCCGTGTTGCGTGCCCGTTCGAAACTCCCTCGCTTATCGTTAAATCATTTGAAATGATTACTCGGTCGGAAATGTTTGCCGCTTATCAATCCCGCGGATTTCGATATGAATTATTTAACACCGGATACTCGAACGATGGCGACAACAACTTGCCGATTCATGAAAAGCAATTTACGCGTGGAGATATCGAAACGAGAATTCGCCAACCGTTCTCGCCAAGGAGGAATTTCCAAGTGTCTTAATTTTCTCTAAATAATTACCGATATCATAACGTCGATTTTTCCGGAGGAAGAAGAAAAAAGACAAAAATCGACCGGTCTTGGAAATATTTCTTTACTCGAAGTCTCGAATCTTAGAAGACTTATATCTACCTATTTCTCTCTCTCGTATCACGAGCGAGAAACGTTAAACGTTTCTCTTCCCGAGATGGGAAGATCCCATATTCCCTGTTTTATGTGTCCCCGTGGCGTGAGAAATTGCGACCGCAGACCACTGCATTAACTAAAGTGCACCTTCTGAAGATGAAGTCCATGACCGAGGAAATATCGATGCATCGAATTAAGAACCCGAGATAAGTCGCATTTTCCTTTCCTCCGTCGATACCCTTTTCTCTCTCTCTCTCTCTTTTTTAACCCTTTTCGTTCGACGCCAAGCTGGCACGATCTCGAGAGAGAGAGAGAGAATCGAGCTATTAATCCACCTTGCGGCTCGGTTCAAGGATGAGGCGGTTGCAACAGAGAGAGGAGGGCTGAGCCGGGCGCCGATTGTGCAATCTGCCCGATTGCATCCGTTGGTGCGGTCGAGCTTTTTTTTCTTTTCGGCCGTCGAGTTGAAAGAAACACGACGGGTAAGTTGCGTAAGTTGTAAACCGTTTGGCAGTGCGTTTGCTCGTTCTCTCGAGGAGAGAAACGGGACACAAGCGACGAAAATAAAATAACTACCTCGGATGAGGTTCTAAGGTACGTTTCCTCGATGCGTGTGACTGGCGCCTGACTGCATCGTTAATAATAGCATAGTCTGACCAAGGAGACGGCATTAGCAATTAAAGTCAAACTCGCCGTGTTCGCAGACGATCATTTCAATTATTCCCAGCCGAGGTGTATTCCGTTCGTATGCGAATCTCGGCTCTCTTGCTCGGCTTCAGAAAGAAGGAAATGAAATTTCCAATTAATGATCGAATTATTAAATTATTCCGCGTCGTTTCTTCGCCAGCCAACGTGCACCAACCAACGAGGGTGCAACCCTCCTTTTTTTTCTTCTCTTCTCTTTCTTCTTTTTTTCTTTCTTCTTTTTTTTTTTTTTTCTCTTCGCTCGAGTGTAACGTTCACTCGGTGCTCGGTGAACGCGAGAAAAGGCTACACGGCGTACAAGACTTCACGGCACGCACGCACGCACGTATAGAAATTAAACGTTCGGGCGGATTGATTGGCGGGAAAAAAATGTTGATGAAAAAATGACTGTTTCACGGCTTGTTAATTAACGAAGAACGAAGGTAAGGGGAAGATCGTGGGGGGAGGAGGAGCGAGCGAGACACGGTGGCGAGAAATATTTATCTCGGTGACAGGCGTTGCGTTATCGCGCCAATATTCCATATTGGATAATGTATCGGAGAGAAGGGGAGGGAAAAAAGTAAAAAACACGTCGATGTCGGGGCAACAAAAATTTCAGAAATTTATCGCGTTGTTATGCCACGTAGAATTTATATCATTCGAATCACGGTGCTCGGAGCTGAAACAATTGATAACGATGGAAAATTCGTCGTGGTGACGAATCTTATTCTTTCTAAACCGATTGTCTTGTTTTCTTCTCCTTTTACCTCGTTAATAATTTCGATTAATTTAATAATTCCCAAGTTAAGAAGCTGTCGCTTCGACTCGAATTTAATATTCAAAAAATTTCCCTCCAGTTCCTTCCGTTTCGAAGTCGGAGAAGAAGAAAAAGTTCATCGTCGCGCAGGAATTTTCCTCGAGAGCGAAACACCGATATTCGCGCATTAGAAGTTAAAACGCAGCGGCAACTCGAATGCGTGGGTTGATAAAACAGCCGCCAAGCAGTCTAGCATTCTCCCGCCTCGCTCCTCGTCTCTCCAAGGAATCTCGCCCCCTTCTTCCACCCTCTCGTGGCTCGTCTGCCTTGGCCCTGGTCGTCTGTCAACTTTGTCATTCACCGTTTCAACCCTGGTGAGCTTCACCCCTTGCGCCACTACGTGCACGCACGCGAGTAAACAGCCCCGCCGACACTTCCACCCTTTTCTCTCCTCGTTAATTACATGTCGCTAATTGTGCGTTATCCACTGCATCGAACCGCGACCTTTTCAGTTTCCCTCCCCTCCCCCTCGCTTCTCCCTTCGAATACGATCTCCGATACGTCCCCCTCCTCGAGCGACGATGTACGACGATATTTCTTTGGAAATTTAACAGAAATTCGAGGATTGAAAAGAAAGAAAAAAGGGGGAGTCGGAGAGGAAAAATTTCTTAAGTTCCTCCTTTTTTTTCCGCGTAAATAAGGTAGAGGAAGGGAGAGGCGGTTGAATGGAGAACGAGCACTCCAGGAAATTACAGTCGGCGATAAAGTTGACGGATACTCTCGACGGATACTCCCTCCGTTTTCGCCCGTTTCTTTCCATCAACCGAAAAAAAAAAAAAAAAGGAAGAATTTCTGATTTATCTTGCCACGACGTTTAGCCGGTAGAAAGCCGCCGCCGGTTCTTTTTTTTTTTTTCTTCTATCTCGGCTCCCTTCGCGAGAACTCCGGAGCAGCTTTCATTCAAACTCGGCTTCGTCCTTCGTGGCCTCTCGCGATACCATCTCGATCTCTCGTCGCGCTCGAGGGACCGCGTGTGTGCCCCCTCCGGAGAGATCTTCCCCTCGAAATCTCTGCCCTCTTCGTCCCGAGAACAATAACTGGCCTGGTGCCGGAGGTGGCGAGAAACCTTCCTTCTTTCTCATTTTCACGCTCCCCCTCAAACACCCCCTATCGGTTCACCCTCCATTATTTTTTCGACATCGACATTGTGTGTACGCATCGCTTCTTTCGACGCGTACATATATATAGCAAGTCGTTTTAATGTGTATATATATATATAAAACACGTTTGGGAAGTCCGTTCTAAAAGTTGACGCGATGGAATTCCATTCGAACGCTATCACTCCATTTCGAATAAATATATAAGATGATAAATCGTGTCGCTGATTCGAAAGTCACGTATAAATTATTTTGAGTTCATATATATATATATTATTTTATTTTACGCGTATAATAAATAAATCTCGACATTTTTGTACATATATTTTGCTAATTGATATAATAAAAATAATAATCACCCTTTTAATCGTATGTAGAGCTTGGCATTAATGTTGCTCGATATACGATCGAAATCGAGTATGCAAATAAATTCGATACACGTAAACGAATGCAAATGTACGTACAAACGAATCACGTTGTATTTTTTCTTTTTTTTGACAACGTGAAAAATATCTCAGCAAAAAAAAACAGAAAAGAAAGACAAAAATCCTCGTTCCCCTCTGGTATCTTATAATTTTCCTTTCGAGGAGCAGCTCAAGATCGTCGAATCAGACGATCTAAACCGTTACTAACTATTAATACTTGGAACCGATATAAAATTACGATCATGGAGTCACGATCAAAACCATTCCTCCCTCTTTCTCCCTCTCTCTCTCCTTCCCTCGCCTCCTCGGTTCCAGCACCATCATTACATTAATAAATGCAAACGATCGAAGATCTGAGGATGCGCCACGAATGATGAATAATCGTTGGCTAAGCCAGCTCGCGAAACGAAACGCGCAATAAACAATTACGGAATTTTTCGAAAAATAAACTTCGAGCGAGGAATCTCTCTCTCTCTCTATTTCGCATGAGACAGTTTAATTAATTAGTCGAGGAATCCGCGCGATTTCCAAGCAGGAAACGGCCATCACAACCGCGTGCAGTGCGTGCCACGCGCGTAGATGTGGGACAGGAAGTTTCCGCTCTGTTCGAATTCGTCGAACGATCGTTGCTGGTGGTATCTAGAATTCCCGCGGATGTGAGCCTTCGCGTGATGGCCGTCACTTTGAATTTATAGTTGCGCGATACGATGAGCAAGGATATAAACGAGAAAAAGATGATTCTAACGTTAAAAGTGTTATTAAGCGATAATTGTAAGATATAGTTGACAGAGTAACGTAATTTTCTCGTTCTTTCGTGACCGCTTCTCTTTCTCTCTCTCTATCTCGTATAAAGTTTCCTTGGATTATTAAACTGCATCGATGGTAATTCGTAGGTACGAGTGGACGTGTACAAATGATAGTAATTTCGTTCGAGACAAAGTATGGAACAGATGTTGCCGAGCACGACGATCCGATAGAAGAAATAGCCTGTTTTAATTT